AAAAACCGAGGCGCGGGCAGACCCACTCACAAGCAACTCGTTTCTGATCATCCTCTCCTTTACAAGTTTTATTCTAATTTCAGATTATGAAAGGTGCCAGTTTGACTCTCCAGCTACCTCTGCCTAGACAAAGAATGCCCTGAACCTTTTGTGGCCAGGCATCAAAGTTAAAGATTCACTTGCCAGAAGCCCTGTGACCCCTGTTTACTGCTCAGCTCAGAGCCCCGAAAACGCTCTCCTCCGAGACTGAGGTTTTCCTACAAAGGAGTGACAAAAGGAACTCATTCCTAATCTCTCTCTCTCTCTCTCTCTCTCTCTCTCTCTCTCTCTCCCTCCCTCTCGTCTTTTTCTCCCTCCCTCCCCCCTTCCTTCCCCCTCTCTCAATAAGGAGGTGGGGACACTTTGGGAAGATGACATTAAATTATCCTATCATACGAACCTCCCCTACTGGGCCGTGTCTAAGACGGCCACTATCCGATTAATTCAATCATGTAGATAGGTAACACAGATCACTTTACCTTGGAAACAATCGAAAAACAAACTCTTTTCGTTTATATTGTAGGAATTTTTTTTTTCAACTAAGGAGAAGCTGAAATAGAGGGACCGAATTAACCAAACCTCTATTCCGCGAACTCTCCGAGAGAGAAGGAGGAAGTCGATCCGTCCCAGTCGCGCGGCCACCCAGACGTTTGGTCCCCTCCTCCTCCCTCGGCCGAAAAGTCACACCGATGACAAACGCAACCTGCCTGATGGTTTGATAACGAATAACGGGTATTGACACCTGGGTCTCCTCCCTTACCCCTGGGCTTCGCAAACGAGGCCAAATGGAGAACTAAGACAATTATCTAAATAGTTCAAAGACACCCCCAAAAGGCCTTGGCTCCAGTTGTTTCTGATGGCAGCCTAGTGGGAAGTTTTCAAGTCGCATTGTCGCGATAATTGCCTTAATCCTCCACGTCTCCCACAGCGAAGTGGGAGATGCTGCGAACGTGCAGCCTTTCTCCAGGGTGTGCAAAGCCCCCAGGAATCCCTGGGGCCTGTTGAGCCGTCCCTTCCCTCATCTCAGCCTGCCTTTCTCAAGTCTGGTAGCTCTTGTCCCTTCGGGGGCCCCGAGGGCCAGCAAGCGGACGTCCTAGCACCTCGACGTTTCCACTTCTAGGGCTAAACTCATCCAAAAGCGTGGGCAAAACTTTTTTAAAAATGGGGTGGAGGCTTGGACACCCCCCGGCGGTCGACACAGCAGCCCAGGGCTGACTGAGGACGCAGGAAGGCTGAGGAGCAAGGGGTCTCCCAGGGTGGGCAATGGAAGCAGCTTGGGCCCAGCTTGCACCCCTTGGTAGTGATTTTCTGCGCTCCGGGGGGTCCCTGCCCAACCCCGATTCTCGCTCTTTTACTCCAAAAAGGAGAGGGATTTCTGGCTCCTGGTGACTCGCGTTAGAACACGGTCCCTTCGCCCCCAACTCTCCATACCACGTCCCCTACCTAACCGGGCATTTCCTGGAATGCGTGCCACCTCCCCCTTCCTGGTGCTTTTGCGTAGGAGGGGCCCAGAGGGATCTAGTTTTAAAGGTTGCTGTGACGTCACGCCCCCTACTCAGAGCAAGAACCCTCAGGTGGGCCCGGAAAATTGCCACCGGGCCTGGAGGGTCAGGGAGGGGAATGAGGTGGGGTGCGCGGAGCGACGCTTCCACTACACATCCATTACTGCTGTCGCCTGCGGGGCCTTCAGGCTGCAAGTACTCGAAGCCGAAAGGGTTCTGCGGGGGCATTTCTGCCAATTAGGTCAGGGTTCTAGGGGAGACGGACGACTGAACTACCCTTGTAGCAACAGAAAAAAGAGTATCAAAAACCTTAGCCTGAAAATAAAAACTTTAACCTGTTTCCCAAAAGACTTCATGTCTGCGTCTTAATGTTCAAACAACCCTAGTAACAATAATAAAATAAGTAAAGTGCTTGAAATACAATCAAACCGTTTACTGGAGGTTTGCTTCCGAATAAGCTTATAAAACACAAATGCAAATATCTTTTCCTGGCGAATATCCAGAGCTAAACCAGTGGAAAGTTGATCTTTATAAAACTGCGCCCCTCCATTCTCCCCTCCACCCCGACCCCGCATGCCAGATACTAATTTCACAACGGCAATTTCTGTACCCAAAGCGGGGAACTGAGAGCGTCGGAGCAGTTCGATTTGCAATTTACATAACAAGCTGTTTACACTTTCCTGGGCTGGAGGGAAGCTGGAGACTGTGGATTGGAGGGAGGGGGGAGGTAGCGGAGTACACTGTCTGTTGCAAAACCCGGCCGGCCTGCTGGTGTTTCCCACGTTCGGAAAACATCTAGATGAGTTGCTAAACTCTGCGTTTCTCTCCAAGTACTAGGAGCAGTGCAAACGCGAAGACTCAATTCACCAAAAGCTAAGGTGTTTAGGGAGTTCACTTTCTTATTGTCCTCCAGGTTGAAGCCAGACCCCCCCAACACACTTAAAGTCTCCTCCAAAGGAGCTGAAACGACCTTCAGGTTCAGGGATAGGGTTAGACACCAAATCATGGGGCTTAACCACACCCCTACCATACCCAAATGTCTTTAGAATCACCAGCTAGATGATTCTGTTAGAAAATTTAGTGTTTCTTCCAACCCAGGACTGCAAATAACCCCAGACAGGGAGCTCAAGTGACCCAAACATACTGCAGGCCAGGAGGCAACTGCCTCTGGATTCCTAACTTCCGGGCAACCCTACCCCTTCACACGCCAAAAAAAAAAAAAAAAAAAGGAATTCTCGAAACAGCAAATCTTTCTCTTCCCTTGAAGTAAATATCCATTTTAGGTGTGTGTGTGCGCGTGCGTGTGTGTTTTCAAGTGACTCAGAGCTGTTCCAGCTACATAAGTTAGCATCCTCAACATTTAACAACCGAAGCTGCAATTAGTATTTTTGGGGAAAAAAAGCGAGGAAGGCAGGATTCAAGCTGGGAAGCCAAAGGGGGCTCCCAACAAGTCCTTGAGTTAAAGAACGTCAGAAATTGGAGAAGCGGAGGTGTAAAATGCACCATGCATACTTCTTCACAGTCTCTTAAACTAGCTATTTCTCCTGGCTTCTAGTAAAGGACCTCTTGTCCAGCCTCGGAAGGGTATTTATTAAAAAGTTGCTGAAAAGTAGAATCGCACCCAAGGCGGAGAAAGGCCGGTCCCTTTCCTGCTCCTTCGTTTCGTTCCCTCTCATTTCTTTTCTTCCTATCCCATTCCAGTCACCCAGAGGCTGCAAGCACCCAGGCGTAAGTAAGCACAGGACGCGGGGGAGGCAGCGGAAGGGGCGTTCTGCGCTCCTACCCCCAGAATCTTTGAGCCGCTGTACAGGTGGGATTCTGAACATCTCCCAAACACATCCTTTATCTCTGGGAGACGTGTGGAGATAGAGATTGGCCTGGGGAAAGCATTGAGCTCTTAGACGTGCTTCTTTGCTTTTTGTCATCACACCTGCTGATGTCACTGAGCGCACAGCTTGACCAGAAACGTGAGGGGTAGGAAGAGACATTAGGTGAGCGGCGAGCTGGTGGGACCCTTCCCGGAGGACGAGTGGGGAAGAACGTGGGGAAGTTGCCGGCTCCTACGGCACGCGCCGCCGGTACCCTCGGGCAGCCAAGGGCCCTGGGGCGCCTAGGAGTAAGGCGACCTGTAGTGAAGAGGGCACAGTCTACGGGGACAAACTAAGGTCCCAAACTCCTAGCAGGGACATGTATCCCCTTTCCTTATTTCGACTAGAAAAAGGGTAATGTAAGGAGTCTAGGTGTGGCGACAACACTTTCCCCACTGAAAACTGTAGGAATGTGACTGAGCCCTCAAAATAGTGCCCTTTGGGACTGAGTTCAGGACCGGAAGAGACCTCCAGGTGTGTGTGTTTGGGGGAGGGGGGATTAGAGACATCAGGGTACCGAGTGAGAGTGGCGATTGGAGGGAGAGGAAAGGGGGTGGTGCGGGGAGAAAAGGTGGGCAGAGAGGCCCGGGAAACCCCGGCGCTGGAGCCAGGTGTATCAGCGAAGGAATGGGAGAGAGCCAGAGCGAGGCGGGGCCCGAGGACTCAGGGGGCATTTGGGAGTGGTGGACCGAAGAGGGTCTGCTTGAGGCCCTAGGAAGGACATAAAGTCTGCGGGAACAATGAGCATTCGTGCGGATGGCCCAGAATGAGAGGTAGTGCCGGGCGACAGAGGTGAGCTGGTGGGTCTCGGGGGGTGAACTGACCACCGTCTCTTGACCCGCGCGGGTAGGGGCACGGGCGCGAGGCCCGGGTGGCCGGCGCGCGTGTGGTCAGCCCCGCGGTCCTCCGGCCGCGGGGCGCGGGCCGGTCGGGCTCGGCCTTCGGCTCATTCAGAGGCGGTTCTCGCCTCCCATTGGCTGCCGCCGCCGTAGCGGGGCGGGGCTCCGCTGCCCGGAAAAAAATGTAACTGCGTAAAAAAGTCCTCGCCTGGGTGACGGATGCTCAAAAGTTCAGAAGTTTTCCCAATGCTTCCTTAAGCGGCCGGCGCGCGAGAGACTGAAAAAAGGTGACGCGGGGCCCGGGAAGGCGGCCGGCGCGCTGCCCCCCCGCCCCTGGTTATTTGGCCGCCTTCGCCGGCAGTTCGGGGCAGTCTCCTGGAAGGCGCAGGCAGTGTGGCGAGAAGGGCGCCTTCTTGTTTTTTATTTTTGGCTCTTTTTTTCCGTTTGTGCCTGGAAGTTGTTCTGCGAGTTCCTCCAAGGCGGTTAGCCGCATCCTCGTGTGGCCCTCTCCCCTCTCAGCGACCCTCCCTCGCGGCTGCTGCGGGTCCCGAGGTGGCCGGAGGCGCCCAAAGAGCCCAAGCGAGCGCAGGGAGAGGCCGCGCAACCGAAGGCGCTGGGAGGCGGCGGCGGCCGAGCCAGACGCAGCGCGCCGGGCCAGCACCAGCTCGGCGGGGCCGGGACTCGGACTCGGACTCAGCGGCCGGCGCGGCGCGGCCGGGCCGGAGCGAGGGTGGGGGGCGGCGGGCGGCGCGGGGCGGCGGCGGCGGCGGCGGCGAGCCGGGGCCATGCAGGCGCGCTACTCCGTGTCCAGCCCCAACTCCCTGGGAGTGGTGCCCTACCTCGGCGGCGAGCAGAGCTACTACCGCGCGGCGGCGGCAGCGGCCGGGGGCGGCTACACAGCCATGCCGGCCCCCATGAGCGTGTACTCGCACCCGGCACACGCCGAGCAATACCCGGGCGGCATGGCGCGCGCCTACGGGCCCTACACGCCCCAGCCACAGCCCAAGGATATGGTGAAGCCGCCCTACAGCTACATCGCGCTCATCACCATGGCCATCCAGAATGCCCCGGACAAGAAGATCACCCTCAACGGCATCTACCAGTTCATCATGGACCGTTTCCCCTTCTACCGGGACAATAAGCAGGGCTGGCAGAACAGCATCCGCCACAACCTCTCGCTCAACGAGTGCTTCGTGAAGGTGCCCCGCGACGACAAGAAGCCGGGCAAGGGCAGCTACTGGACGCTGGACCCGGACTCGTACAACATGTTCGAGAACGGCAGCTTCCTGCGGCGGCGACGGCGCTTCAAGAAGAAGGACGCGGTGAAGGACAAGGAGGAGAAGGACCGGCTGCACCTCAAAGAGCCTCCGCCACCGCCGCCAGGCCGCCAGCCTCCGCCCGCGCCGCCGGAGCAGGCAGACGGCGCCGCGCCCGGACCTCAGCCGCCGCCGGTGCGCATCCAGGACATCAAGACTGAGAACGGTACGTGCCCCTCGCCGCCCCAGCCCCTGTCCCCGGCCGCCGCCCTGGGTAGCGGCAGCGCCGCCACGGTGCCCAAAATTGAGAGCCCCGACAGCAGCAGCAGCAGTCTGTCGAGCGGGAGCAGCCCTCCGGGCAGCCTGCCTTCGGCGCGACCGCTGAGCCTGGACGGTGCGGATCCCGCACCGCCTCCGCAGTCCGCGCAACCTGCGCCGCCGCCACACCACAGCCAGGGCTTCAGCGTGGACAACATCATGACTTCACTCCGGGGGTCGCCTCAGGGCACAGCCGCGGAGCTCAGCTCTGGCCTCCTGGCCTCGGCGGCCGCGTCCTCGCGCGCGGGCATCGCACCCCCGCTGACGCTCGGAGCCTACTCGCCTGGCCAGAGCTCCCTCTACAGCTCCCCCTGCAGCCAGAGCTCCAGCGCCGGCAGCTCCGGCGGGGGCGGCGGCGGCGGCGGCGGGGGTGGCGCTGGGGGCGCTGGGGGCGCCGGGACCTACCACTGCAACCTGCAGGCCATGAGTCTGTATGCCGCCGGCGAACGCGGCGGCCACTTGCAGGGCGCACCCGGGGGCGCGGGCGGCTCAGCAGTGGAAGACTCCCTGCCTGACTACTCTTTGCCTCCAGTCACCAGCAGCAGCTCATCGTCCCTGAGTCACGGCGGGGGCGGCCAGGAGACCGGCCACCACCCTGCAGCCCACCAAGGCCGGCTCACCTCATGGTACCTGAACCAGGCGGGCGGTGACCTGGGCCATTTGGCGAGCGCGGCGGCGGCAGCGGCGGCCGCGGGCTACCCCGGGCAGCAGCAGAACTTCCACTCGGTGCGGGAGATGTTTGAGTCGCAGCGGATCGGCTTGAACAACTCTCCGGTGAATGGGAATAGTAGCTGTCAGATGGCCTTCCCTGCCAGCCAGTCTCTGTATCGCACGTCCGGGGCTTTTGTCTATGACTGTAGCAAGTTTTGACCCCCTTCCTTGTCCTGGCACCGTCAAAGTCGAACTGAATAGAATCCCAAAGCAGGAACAGCCGAAAGAATCCATCAATGCAAAATCGAAACTAAAAAATATGCAATTTAAAATACGAGAGATATTCAGCACACCAGCAAACAGATTCCCTTCCCAAACTCAACTCACCAGCACCAGCTCAAAGAAAACTATTTTCTTAAAAGATTAATCCAGAGCCACGTCCACTTTGCCTTATCTAAATAAACAAAAACGTAAACTATTTTGTACAGAGACAGCAAAATCATGGTTTATTAAAGGACAGTGTTACTCCAGATAACACGTAAGTTTCTTCTTGCTTTTCAGAGACTCGCTTTCCTGCTCCTCTCCTCTCCCTTCCCCTGCCTTCTTCCTTGCCTCTCACCTGTAAGATATTATTTTATCCTATGTTGAAAGGAGGGAGAAAGTCCCCGTATATGAAAATCGCTTTCTTTTTATTCATGGACTTGTTTTAAAATGTAAATTGCAACATAGTAATTTATTTTTAATTTGTAGTTGGATGTCGTGGACCAAACGCCAGAAAGTGTTTCCAAAACCTGACGTTAAATTGTCTGAAACTTTAAATTGTGCTTTTTTTCCTCATTATAAAAAGGGAAACTGTATTAATCTTATTCTATCATCTTTTCTTTCTTTTTTTGTTGAACATATTCATTGTTTGTTTATTAATAAATTGCCATTCAGTTTGAATGAGACCTATGTCTGGATACTTTAATACAGCTTTAATATAAAGAAAGATTTCAGAGATAAAACACACTAGGAGTTATCTGCTCTCCGCCTAAATCTCTGAAAAAGAGAAACTCTCTGAGTAGTCCATGTAAAATTTCACTGAAATTCTTTTTGTTTAGATCTTTTTTTTTTTTCCTGCAGCATCTTCTGCAAAATGTACTGTGCAGTCAACTTGCTTTGTGGCTAGTAAAAAAGATAATTTCCTAAACAGATTTGAATTGGCATATAAACAAATACTTTTTTCTCAGTAATGACAGAACATGATTTGGAAATCTTAAGCCCATGAATCAGCAGCAGTCTTACTACAGTGATACCTGTGTGTAGAGAGATGCAAATGTGCCTGAAGATATACACAGATGGATATTTGGCTCATGTTTCCCATATAAAATTGCATTGCATATTATACATCCCTGTGAGCCAGATGCTGAATAGATTTTTTTCCTATTAATTTCAGTCTTTTGTAAGAGGAAAAATAAACCAGTTTTTAAGTATATGTATATAACTCATCCACATTTACAATCCTTCGTGTGTTATGTAGAAGGGTTGATTTTTTTTTTAAAGATACAAATATACTGCGGGTTGGAAAGGGATAGTTAATCTTTGGGTAACTATTTTAGAAGATATGTTTGTAGAACAATTATTTTCGAAAAAAAGATTTAAAGTAATAACAAGAAGGAAGGCGACAAGGGCAGAACATTTAGTCTGGGGTGGTTTCTTTTCAAACCAATTTTTCTTGTTAATTTACAGTTAAACCTAGGGGGGCAATTCGGATTGCCCCCTCCCCCCCTTTTGTAAATAACCCAGGAAATGTAATAAATTCATTATCTTAGGGTGATCTGCCCTGTCAATCAGACTTTGGGGAGATGGCGATTTGATTACAGACATTCAGGGCCTTTCAGTTTGTTTTCGAGATAATGCAGTTTCCTATCTGCCGCTCCTATCTAGAGACAACACTTAAGCAGTAATTGCAGTTGCTTGTTGTCAAAATTTGATCATTGTTAAAGGATTGCTGCAAATAAATACACTCTAATTTCAGTCAAAAACTTCTCTACGTGGCCTCTGATTCGCTCGGTCCCCTCCCCCAGAGCCGTAACCTAATAGCCGGGGAAGATCGCAGCGGTGCTGGCGCGGTGTCTCTCCGTTCGGGTCAGGCCGGCTCTGGCTGGCGTTTTTAAATCTTCCTTTGGGCTGTCGCAGCCCTAGGACCTAGGACCTAGGGCTGCTTGGAGTTTCTTAGAATGACCCTTTCCTGGGGGATAAGATGGGGAGGGGGGTGAAAGGAAAGAATCCAGCGACCAATCTAGTGGAGTTGGTGCTTTGCTCCACTTTGGGGAACCCAAGGTGGAGCTGGGATCTGCGTGTAAAGGGTCTGGCGGCCGGAGCTGGGTTGTCTAGGCCCGGATGGGGAGCGGCAGCAGGTGACCCTACAGCCCTGTCGGGTTGACAGGCTTCGAGGCTGAGTAGCTGGAGAGCGTACAGTTCTCGGTATACCTGGTGCAACTCTTTGCAGAGGGGAGTGGGGGTGGCTAGTGGAGCCCCGTGGCCCACCGCTGGCTTTCCAGCTGGGGCCCCGAAATCTTGCGAGTAGCGTCGGACCCCGACGCCGGCTTCTGGGACGCCGCTCCCGGATGGGAACGCTCTTCAGCTAATTAGCTGTAATTACCCACTGCGGCTCGGGGCCGGCTTCTGTTTGCGTTTGGAGCTCTTTCCTCCTCCCACGCCCGCCCCCGCCCCGCCGCCTCCCTCCACGGATTCCCGACCTCGCCTCCGCGGCCTCCTCCCGAAATAAGTTGTTTGGGGGAGAAAATAGAGTCAAAGGAGACCTCTGTTAGGTCTGATGGGTTAATCACAGGTTGCGTCGGGATGCCGGGAAGACCGCGCGGAGCGGAAGGTGGCCAGGAGCAGGCGTGTGTGAGTGCAGAGGACCAGGGTCGCCGGCACAGAAGACGCACCTTGGGGCCCTGGCGATCGCGCCTGGGGCAGCCGCCGAGGAGTTCGCTCCCCTCCTCTCCCCGCGACTCTGACCGGCGTTGCCCGGCCCCACAAGTGCTCCCATTTCCTTCTTGCTCGTCACCTTCGTTTTGGAGACACACGTGTGTTTAGGAGCCCAGCCGGGTTGGAAAGGTCAGAGGCACTTCATTGCTCACGGGTGACAGCGCGCCCCACAGCCTCGGCAAGCACAGGGCCCGGGACCACTGGTTTGCACGACCACCTCCCAAGTCCTACAGGGTCTCCAATCGGCCAACCTTGGCCTGGCCGTGCCGGACCTGTCCGGGCTAGCGCTGTGGCCCCAGGCAGCCTCCAACGCAGGGCTGCGTCCTTGTGCAGTGTGTGAGGTCGGTTTACAGACGCCACAAATCACTTGGCAGTGGCCATGCAGGAAGTCGCTGGGCCTAATGAACGCGAGAGGCCTGTGTACGTGAGGCCGGCTCCGCGTGTTTGGGGTCCACGTGCCCGCAGCCCTCGCCATCTCCGTGGGCCTCGGCTTTGAAGCCCTAGGCACGTCGCGGCCTCAGCCGGCCGTGGGCCTCACCCCAGCCTGGCCCCGAAGAGCTAGGTGGGCTTCTTGCTAGGCCGCACTGCTCCGAGGGGTGGCCTGCGGGACAGCTAGGTCTGCGCCCCGCACGCCTCCCGGGAGTGTACTTGGCCTGCCCAGAATCCGGCAGCTGGGGAGAGCTTGGCAAAGCGAAGAGCAGGCAGGTTCCCAGCAGGGCCCTTCCCCAGCACGCCAGAGTGTGGAGTGGGCTCCTTGTAGTCCTTCCTATTTGGACCCTGCAGTTGGTGAGAAACCGGCTGTGCGTTTGGAGTTGTGACTTCTGTGACCAACGGGGCCCCTCACCACAGCTCCTGGGAATGTTTCCCTGCGTGCCAGAGGAGAGTTTCTCAACTATTTTCATCCTCTTCGATTTGAAATTTGAAAAATTAGGCATGGAAGACATATGTGTCTATGAAGGTGTTTGTATTTATTTCTGCACGATTTGCCTACATAATAGTTTAGAAACTAATTGTGAGTGGGAGAAGAGAAGGTCTGCTCCTTATTCTTTTTTAAAATCACAAATGTATAATTTTTCTACCATCAATACGATAACTTTTGAATTTTCATATCCAAATTCAAGAAAAAACAATTTGTGACATTATTTAACCTGGAACTTCTTACTCTGGTGGCTCACATGTTTGAGTTTTACTCTTTTTTTTTTAATTATAAGGATTTTTTTTCTGTAAAATGTTCTGAGAAAAATTTCTTGATATTTTAACTGCTAGTCAGTTCATTTTGAAATTAGTCTGCTGATGGCAGGCAGGGTCCAGTGAAGAATCAACTAATTTTGTAAACCGCCTCTGTAGAAAACTTTAGATAATAAGTATTTTGTCCTTTATGCGCAAGTGGGGTATGTTTATTTTCTTAGCAATATATACTATGAGTGCACGAATGCTAGCATGCTGTATGCCACATAAAATCTTGCATTTGGCATAATGCATGTGTGGTAGGAACACGTGCTGTTTTGTAGGGTTATGTAGTTAGCAGGCCTTTTTCACCAGGCTGCATGCAAACAAGCATGCATTTTACAATCTATCATTCCACACAGTTTGTGTCATTAATAATCGATGTTTGCAGAAGAATAAGGCTCAATTGTACTGGTTGCCTGTAAGCTCTTGGCTGTTTCCTGTCGGGTCAGAAACAAGGGTCAGGAAACAAGAGTGCCTTATAGCCCTTTTGGGCTCTCCCTAACTTTGATAGGTGAAGAAAGTCATGACACTTTTTCTCTTTCACCCTGTTCACTTGGGGGCCGGGGAGTCTTGGGTTTTACGGTGGAAAGCCATTAGTTTTGTTCTTAATGGTGTAAAAGTGGAGAGACCCTGACTATGCATGTTCAGGCAGCCTGGTCTGACAGCCCAGGAGGGACAAGAGGCATCCATACTTTATCCAAGCCTTAGGCAACCAAATCCATTTTCTCCCAGGCTGTTAGTGTTACTAGAAGCAAGCAGGGTTGTAATGACAGTTTTTTTCTACCCGCATCTCACATCTTAGATCTCTAGGAGAGGGGCCCCTTTTGCTTTTGAGTGGACCACTGGGTCCTGCCTGGTGTTTCAGAGCCTTCTTTTTTGACTCTTCTCTACTCATTTCATGGCTGGTTCATGAAACCATTAGCCCTTCCCATCTATTCATAAACAAATGTCGTGTTAGGGGTAAGACTGATGGTGGTCTAGTAATAAAACTGGCCGGCAGGACAGAATATGATTTGATGTGGGCAGGGACACCCCGCCCAGCAGAAAGATTAGGGTGTGGGGAGTAAAGGGACCAAGAGGGGTCCGGGAGCGCAGGAGAACTCCCAACAAGGGATGTTTGATTTATTCAGACAGTGACCACTTGGCAGGAAGGTAAATCCACAGAGATTGGCCAGGGGACCCAAATGCCAGCCTTAGACACCCTACTTCTCTGAAATTTCTTATTTGAATTTATAACCCAGCCAAAAGTTTCCTGGTAAAGAGACTTTATTAATGACATTTTCACTCCCACTTTCCTATTTGGGCCCTACCTATATAGCTGGAAATTTCGTGGGCCTAATTTTCCTTCCTTCTTTATTCCAGCTCCCACTTTCTGAGTGTGTATCCAACATAACCATTAAGTTGTGTGTATCTCTGTTTCTTCTTCTTTCTCTTTTCCCCATCCTTGCCCTGAGGCCCCTGGAGTTTCTCCCGGATGTCCCCCGCTCCCAGTTTGCACTGCCTCTGGTGGCCTCAAGACCCACCCTGTGCGGAGCCTTCTGGGGGATGGGCTGGATGCAGCCTGAGGGAGCTTTCACTGAGGCCTTGAATAGACCTGGGGCCACACAGGAGCAGAACTGTCAGGTTCCAGGTCCAAGTTTGGTTGGGAAAGGAACAATACTTAATTAAATGAGTTCCAGCTCCAAAACCCATTCAGAAGGAGAGTGAAAGCCACTTCTCCACCAACGTTCTCAACGTGATT